GGACAGGTGCTGCTAGGGCGAGACAGACGTCTCTCACAGAGTCCTTTAGTGCTGCAGGCAGGCAAGGTGTTCAAATAGCACAACTTCAGATTTTTATTTCTGTATGATGAACTCTGCATTATTAAGTGATAAGAACAAGTAATCTGATGTCCTGTAATCATTATGACGCTATAATTTGAGATACAATAAATAAAATAAGTTTTTGTACAAAGTATCGGTATCGGATCAGTATCGTCGATACCACCCTGAATATTACTTGGTATCGGATCGGAAAGGAAATCAGTGGTATCGCACATCACTACTAGACAGGCCGTACTACTCCCAGCATGAAGTCTGTTTCAATGGCGCCAAAAGATGAATCTTTCCCAATTTGCACTAAAATCTAAATATTTAAAAAACTATAAAAGTCATAAACACCAAAAGTCATAGCATACTAATCCAGATCCAGCCGCACAAAATGATATAACATATATGACCCTTGTCTCAAAACTGTGCGACAGATAAGCACGGGAAAATATGCACTAAAATATTAATATTTAAAAAACTATAAAAGTCATAAACACCAAAAGTCATAGCACACCATTCCAGATCCAGCCGCACAAAGTAATAAGTGTGCCTCTTGGCATAGGCACACTTAATAATAAATCCGAGAAATAGTAATAAGTGTGCCTCTTGGCATAGGCACACTTAATAACCTTTATAACAAAACCTACATTTTTTGCTATATCTTGTTGTTTACTATATAATTTTATGATATAGTTATGATATATTTTTTTATTGCATTTGTGACACTGGGCATTTTTGGCAACGTTATGTTAACAACAATGTTAATTTCACACAAAAAAATATTTTTTCCCATAACATTATAGCATTGAAATTATGGCAAGTATTGATCATGTTGATTAGATAGAAGTCTCAGAAACTCATGTATCAAATATGAAACAAAGGGCATTATAGGGTTAAGCAGCACAACTCCATCTATCATCCATCCATCTATCTGCTTATTCAATACAGGATCACAAGACACCACAAGCAGAATATAAAAAAGAATCTGTTATGCGTTTTTCCTGAAGTATTGAACTTACAGAGTGCCTCCATTGTTGAGGGAGTTGGAGCTAGGTCTGGTCTGTGGATGAGACTTGGCATGGGATTTAGGCTGGTACCTAAGCATGCTGGGAGGCTCCACACTGTTTAACATCTTAGGGAGGTCTTTCTCCTGTATGTGAGTCAGAGGCAGCAATGGCTTAAATAGAGCCCCGACCTTGCACTGTGGAGGAGAGACGGATGGCAACATGCTGAAGAAATCCAGAGGCAGCAGGCAGAATATTGCTGGACCCAGGTCTGACAACAGGCGCTCAGGGCTGGATGTGGAGACTTAGGCCAGAATATTCTTTGCTTGTAGTCATGCTTGTTTGCAATATATCTATGTGCATGTGGGAGTGTGGAAACATGCACGAGTAGGGTATACGTGCAAAGTTGCTGATAAACATCTGTCAGCAGCCAAATTCTCTGATTGACTGATTGTCAATTGTCTGACTGAAACTGACAAGAGTGTCATTAAGCATTTAACATCCACTAGGTTACTGGTGACCCCTCAAAAATTAGGGTTAAGGTTTAGGTTTGGTTACCATTTCCCCTATTTAGAACATGTCTGTCCCTTTTCTATAGAATTTCTGCCCACTTGGCACACTCAGAAGGTTCAGAAGGTTTTTACAGATAAATTAATGCCAAAATGTATGAGAATTTACTCGACCTTGGCCGCAGATAGGTTGATGTTATCCTTGTAACTGTTAAAAGATTAATACAACAACAGCAAGTAACAACTCTCCTGGTACTTCTATATTAAAAATAATAAATTGGGGAAACAGATGATAGCTTTTGCAAATTACCAGTGAATTACTAGTGAACACAAAGTATCTTCTGTGCATGTGTGTTTACATGCAGCATACATTCAAAGTGTGCAAGTTTGCAAGCATGTATGTGGGCCCATGCATCTAGATTTGAACTCCATCCATTGTGTGTGTACTTCCTTGCATGTCTGCATATGTAATGAGGGTGTTGTACCTGGGAGCCCAAAGCGCTCTGTTGCTGCTGCAGTCTCCTAGCTCGATTCTGCTTATAGTAGTCAAAGATCATCAAGGCTGCATAAACCTTCCCTACTGTGAGCTCATTGGCTGAGGAGGTGAGAAGAAATTATTTAAGAAATGACAAGACATAAAAAGAAGTAGTAACTGACTCATTCCTTCTTATTTCAATGCATCTCTGTGCACTGCATGTCTCCCTAATGGTTTAAAGAAAAGGGAATTCTTATGGTGAACAAGTTTGTTAATTTACAGTAAGTAACTAAAAAACAGAAAAGCAGAACAATCACTACTGAGTCAAAATGCCTTTTTGTAGTTGCAGTATCTGGTGATCACATCTTGGCAAAAGGTGGCAACAAAAATCAACTGTAAAGTAAGTCTTGGATGGCCACATGCACACAGTGACTCACACTATAGGGTGGTTTAGGGATACCTTTTGGGTGAAAAAGCTTTCACAGCTGCTGTGCATCTACTTTTTATGGCAGTATATTTAAGGACCAGCTGTGGACCAGCTGAAGTCTGTCCTCCATCACTTGGAAAGCCATCCTCTCTTCCCTTGAGGAGTCAGTAGTTCACAGCTGGTTATAAGCCTTTGTCACTCTCATAGCCCACCACTTCCTATGGATTCATTGACTTAACTGCAAATTGCCTACCTGCCCACTCTCCACTGAAAACCTGCCACTCACCACAGCTCTCCACCTGCTAATTGGTACCTACTCCTAAGCCTTGTTTGCCCGTTGCCTTTTTAAATTAAACCTATACTTGATTGTAGTCACTGTCTGCACCTTGGGTCAGAAAATTTTAAAGTCATGATGACCAGTGTTGGTCAAATTGCTTGAAAATTTTTTACTAATTACTGATTACTTCACCAACAAATGGATGTTGTTAATTCACTAATTACTTATTTTCAAAAGTAATTAGTTACTTTATTACTCAGTTACTTTTTAAAAACATGACACACAACCTGAATACTTAACAATGTAATAGACCTTTCAGCCCAATTCAATTTTTTCTGCATAATCCATCATATAAAATTGCTAGTCAGAGTATTAATACTATAGTGTACTAAAGAGTATTATGAATATAATATGAATATAGTATTATGAAAGGACATTATGAAAGGAGTCTGGAAATGGTATTATAATGTTCAATTAAAAGTCAATTAATTATTTGTACTAATTTTCTCTTTAGCATCAACTCTAAGTGCCACAATTTAAAAAAAAAGAAAAAGACTACTTTTTTATGTATGTCATCTATAGATGAATAGAAAATTAAAATTCTGATAATTTGCTTACGTTTATGTGGTGTGACCAACAGGTCCATGGTCTTTTGGGAAAGGTTGGGCCAAACTGTGGACAATTCCTTTTTTAACTCTGCATCACATAATCGCTGGGCTACCATTCCTACAAGTACAAAATCAAGAGAGATTAAAAGAGACTCAACCTCTTGTCATAATAGTGATAACCTTAACTCTGTGCAATCAGAAAATGTTGGTTCTTTCAATTCACTTAAATGTATATAGCACCAAATCATAATGACCGTCACCTCAAGGCGTTTAATATTGTAAGGTAAAGATCCAACAATAATACAGAGAAACCCCAACAATCAGACAATCTCCTCACTTTGGCGACAGTGGGAAGGAAAAACTCCCTTTTAACAGGAAGAAACCTCTGGCAGAACCAGGCTCAAAAAATGTTTTCCCAAGTGTTGGCAGTCAGGGGACAAAAAAGTAATAATTCTAACTGACACACATCAAAAACTATTTATCCCCCCCCCCCACTGTCATTTTTGCTTTGCTCCAAAGATAAGGTTAACATTGAAGATTACTTAGACCATTTTGGGTCTACACAGTGTTATCAGTGTATAATTATGTGCCTCTAACCTGACGCCAACTTGATCTCCAGTGCTGTGCGAATCAGTGCCATCAGAGTGGAGGTAAAGTGAACTGTGTTGTCATCAGCAATAGGCATATTCATTTTGACGAGGCGCTGAGGGTTAGACAAAGAGACATTAGGTCACTGATCATAGCAAACTGTTTAATAAAAACATAAAATTCACCCAGAGAAATCAGTCTGTGTGCTGAAGTTATCCTATCCCCTCAAATGATTCAGGTTCTTTGCTAAATTTGGTTTATTATGTGCAAGTTTCTCTAGATTGATGAAATGCTCCAGAGATATATTTCAGCACACAAAAAGCCTTCTCTACGAGAATATACAGGAGACAAACTAGACATTGACATACACTGCTACTAGCTACAGTATGCACTATGTTGCAAGTCAAAGGGCACTGGTGCAAGACTGACATTGACCGAAAAAAAGGCGAGAGAAGGCATGTAACACATAACCATGAAGGTGCTTCAACAGTCGCAGGAGCTCGACTCTGTGGTTGCCATCGCAGCAATCATCAGTTTGGAGTTGAGAAGCTGAGTATGCTCTACATGTACAGTGGATGCTAGCATCAAAGAGTTAATTCCACCAAGCTTGATCAGACTTAGCAGGAAGACTTGGTTTATACACCTGTGACAATGACAATAAAGTTTCTGATTCTGATTCTGATTAATGGAACCACTATTTGCATAAAGGATGCTATGGGATTGTTGCTGTAAGAGTTGAGCTCCCCTGAACACAAAAAGCATTCACCTACATGTGCTATCAGTGGCAGTGCAGAGAATAAGAAGACCAGAGTCAGAATGAAACGGGGATGGAGAACTGAGGGCCAAACATATACACACACTCAGGCCTTTTTACACATGGTCACACACTCACTTTAGCACATGTACACACAATTATAGGCTGCACAATCAGCTAGAAAGAAAAAATCCTTAACTCAAACCACTCTAACAATAACAGAAGTCATTGACCTATTAAAGATTTACCTGTAGCAACATATCTTTTGTCCTTTATGCAATTAAATAATTATTTTTTGCAGAAAAATAACCATTTGAAAATGGTGTTTGTTCAGCAGAGCCGCTCCAATGCTTTTCAGCACATTAGGTCATGTTCAATCCTTCTTGCATTTAGCAGTTAATAGAGCTGTAATTTTTTATGGCTAATTATAACATGGGTATTTTTTTACATTTACTTTTAGGCATAACAAACTTTTTCAGGTAGTAGGTATAAGTACAATCCAGGGAGTGTTAAAATTGTTTCACTATCTCCGCGTACCCTTTTTATTGCAGAGCTGGTCTCAAAGGCAAAGCTTACAAGCTAAAAAAAACATAAACATAAATCTAAAGGCAGAGCATTTTCAAGTTTTGAAGAATCTTGAAAAAAAAAAAAAGCATTCCAGTGTATCATTAAAGAAACGGTATATTAATGCGCAAAAGGTCCATCCATCCAAAAAAGTGGCAAACAGTTAAAAACTAGAAAAAGTTGCATTTCCTGCGAATGCCTTGTAGTGGAATCTGAAAACAGCAGAATAAGAAGAAAACTGCTTTATTTAAAAGGGTACACTGAACAGTGTCACTAAAGCAGAGTGCATGCAAGCAGAGCAGAAGTGTGCTAACAGCCACAAGTAGGATTCAAACCTGCACCAACAGATCTCACAGCAGCTGTTCATCTCACTGAGCCATAGCAGTTCTTGTCTCAACGAGAGATATGATGAGAGAAAAAATATGCAGAGGGCTGAAGAAGCTGAATTGTTGTGAAAAGAGGTGAAGAAGCAGAACTGTATGCTAGAAAAAGGTGAAAAGGCTGAAATTGTGCTGAAAAGAGGTGAAAAGCTGAAATTCTTCTGAAAGAGCAGAAGAGGCTGAAATTTTTTCAGCTACTCATTGAGCCAAACTGGTTCTCATGTAACTGAAAAAAGGTGAAAAAGCTGAAAATTCTTATTAAAAAAAAGCAGAAGAGGCTGAGATTTGTGCTGATAAGAGGTGAAAACGCTGAACCTTCTGCTGAAAAGAGGCAGAACAACCTGGTTCTGCTCAATTTCAGTCCACCAATCAGAGGTACTTCTTCTGTCTGCTTCATCAGGCTGTGTACTTGTATGTATTTCTGCCATGGAGCATTAACAAGAATCTGAGGTCCATATTAGAAATGCTGCCAAAATTATAAAACGTTGCAGAATTGTAAAAAATTAGCAATGTAAATTACAGGACTGTGATAGTGTATTAATTTGTAGTGAAAAAAAAACTGTGGAACAAGGTGGAATTGAACCCAAGACCCGTGTCATAACCAATTGTGCCACCTGGAACAGGGGCGGGAGGCTCAGAAAACAGAGTGATGAGGAGTCAGAATTAGATTGCGGTGAGAGGCGAAAAATGCCGTTTTTTGGTGTTACAAAACGTCGTGTAACTCAAAAAGTAGGTGGGATAGAAGCATAATTCTTGTACTGGGTGAATCAGCAGACTTTGGTGAACTTTCACTGCGACAGAGGTACATAGGTCTTTGTACCTCCGTCGCGGAGATATGACCAGAGAAGACACGGCTTCATTTCCAGAGTTTGAAAACTGAGAGAAGGACAGATTTCCACCCCTCAAACAAACGTAATTCATCGCTCAACGGTAAGATAATTGTAAAAACTGTTTAGTACACTCAAAGTGTCTGAAGATATATTGGCACAAGCCTCATGTCTTAACTTTGCTTCATTAAGGAGATATGACGATTTGAAAATGCCTCCAGTTACAGAATTTCAGCTCTGAGTTTCACAACCTCCCCATAGACTTTGAATGGGAAGTTTTCAGACCTTGTGTCACTTCGAGGCAAATTGTGAAAAAAACGTCACTCGCACGATAATGATAGTGACACTGTCTTAAAGCCAACAAAAATACCTACGTTTTGATGTATAATTTGTGTGGGTTCAGCGAAAGTTGAGTAAGCAACAGGAGTTTGTTCGTACATGAAGAAGGGTTTCAGAGCTTAGAGTGCACGTACTCTAACTCAGTCCATATCAACGATAGCAACCCATGCAAATCCTCATAATTCATACAAAAGCGAAAAATTAATTTAAGGGAAATGGTAGAACTTATGGAAAAGCTGAATTAGACAATAGTAGCAGAAGAACAGGAGAATAGTTTAAAGGTGGAATGGTGGTTCTAGGTGAAAGTATGTGGAAGTAGTTAAGGTTCAAAAACATGCCACTTAGAGTGTTTTATGGGAGGTGTGCCATTCACTTCAATGGGAGCTGGAAAGAGCAGAATTGATAAAAACTGTAAAAATTTGAATGGTGATAATGGCATAAAAACTGAGGGACTAGTTAAGTGGCAAAAAACGTACGGAAGCAACTAGAAAAGGAAAAATAAAGAATAAAGAGAAACAGGATCTCAATAGTGTGAATGGCTGTGAGGCATTCACACAACAAGGTAAGTGGTAAGTGGTGTGAGATGTTAATTTAATTTTTTGTTTACATGGCTACGCATTTGCACGCTCTTATAATTGGAGCGAAAATTAACTAACAAAGCTTCACTGAATTCAACTGTGCTGGCTGCCTGGCTCATTATTCTGACAAATACAAACTGTAACCTTTTAGAGTTATTGTAGAGCATAAAAGATTCCAGACTCTTTAAAGTGCCTATAACCTTTGCCTAGTACTGTACAACCATTATGAATGTAATGTAACATTACCTGAGGTGAGTTTTAACTGGAATAAAATAGGCGAACAGAAAATAAAAAAAGAAAGTGATTTCTAAATTGACTTTGACTTGTATTTCATTGCAGACAATATGAACACAAAATATTTTACGTTTTGTTTGGTCAGCTTCATTTCATTTGTAAATATACATCCTTACCTGTCACTCAGACCTGCAACACATTCCAAAAAAGGTTGGGACAGGAGCAATTTAGGGCTAGTAATCAGGTAAATTGGCTAAATAATGATGTGATTTGAAACAGGTGATATCAACAGGTGATTGTAATTATGATTTGGTACAAAAGCAGCATCCAAGAAAGGTCCTTTAGGAGTAAAGATGGGGCGAGGATCGCCAATTTACTAACAAATATGGAAAAAAATTATTGAAATGTGTAAAAAAAAATCTCAGAGTTTTTTTATGGTCATTTTGCTCCTACATGAGTCCCACTCTGTTATGTGCCTTTTCTGTTATTAGTTTACTCAGACTGTCTTTGGTAATAATTGTGACATTGGTGAAATGTTTGAGTAATTGAGTAATCAATACAGAAATCCTGCTGGAAATTCCAGTGCAATGTCTTTAAACCTTGTAAACAAGTTGACCACAGTGTAAAGATTTCCTCAAATGTAACTTAGTCACTGTATAACTCAAAGCATAGCTAGAATGTGATGATGACTACACTGTTTGCATTTGCCCCTGTGTTAACATGCAAATTTCATTATTTAGATTGGCTATCCGGATAAAGATAATGTGATCAGCTAGAAATAGTGTAGAGGTTAAATCAAGGTTTAGCACCTCTAATATTCTAACACAAAAAGAAAGAAACAAACACACACAGACACATGCACACAACAGATATTTCCACACAGTGAACAGACTGAGATGATATGACAGAAAAATGAGAGAAAAAAAATGGGCAGTACAGACAGAACCACAGAGTCAAAAGCACATATACAAAACATTTCTTCCACAGAAAAGCAGCAGAAGCTAGACACACACACACACACACACACACACACACACCTGGACATACATAATTGCACACACATACGCACGCGCACACACACACACACAAACGCACGCACGCAAAACTCACTGCTCCACAAAATAAAACCCAAACTAGGGTATACCACTGAAAGGAAATAGTGATGCAACGGAGCAATTTCCCTCCTTATACATTATATATCTTAATCAAGCATTCTTTATTAAGGGCTGTGTTCTTATAATTAGGGATGGGTATTAACCCAAAGCTGCAGATACTACTAGCAAAACCGTAAGACAGAAAAGATGAGTGACTTACACTCAAGCACTATCAGAGCACTAGCAAAACAAAGAAATGTGGTAATAGTGCAGAGCAAAGACATTGGCTTGAGTTCACGCCAATGGAAAAAAGATTGTTGAGAAGAGGGAAGAAAGTGGCGGAAGAGGAGGGTCTACCTTGTAGGCGACTCTTGGCGGACATTTCTTTCCCAAACCTAAGGGTGGGGACATGTGGAGCAGCATCTGATACATATCGCGGTACTTGATACGGCCACTTCACAGGGTAGGAAATCAAAACATAAATAGAATGCAAACAGAGAAGGATGGGAAGTTAGAGAAGGGGAAAAATAAATAAAAAGAAATCAACAAAACAGCAGAATGATGGAAAGGAAAAACAGAAATCTGTTGTTAATAGATTTCCTTGAGTGAGATGGAAGGTATATGCCATCCTCGGCCACTGTGTCAGGGCGCAGGGATGGATGCATCGCTACGGAGCTCAGGATTCCTGAGAGGAAACATGGAATGGTAAAGAGTGAGTCAGGGGAGGAGGGGAGAAAAATGGGACAATGGTCAGACCCACACAGGATGCTGATGAAAGGGAAGAGAGATGAGAGCAGTGTAATGGGGATGTCTGCCACAGCATGCTTGCAGACATCTCACTGGTACTACAACCAGGGTGTACGGAGACAAAGGTTTCAATGCCAGCCTGAAATCTGCTGTGGTTGCTCATAGCCTAACTTTCACGAGGCAGACATGTACAAAAAAGATCACATTGTTCTTGATGGTTTTGATTTGCCATAACTGAATTGAATTTAAGACTTTTGAAGGCTCAGTTTGTAGAGTAAATTGCAGTCTGCAGTTAAAACATTACAGACAGAAGAAAGTCTTATGGCAGGCAGCATGTTGGGACAGTGCCGCAGCTTTGAAAACTTTGTTTCCACTCCAGGATCATCACCCAAAGCCAGACAGTTTGAAGGGGCAAGTGCTAGTGTAAAGGCGATTTCATTGGTGCACAGCCATTCAGTTAAAATTCTCTTGGCATAGAGGTACACAAAGCACCCTAGTGACGGAAATGTCTGGTATTTGCAAACCTTGTATGCTACCCTATTAGGGCAGTTCTTCCCTAAGCCAAGGGGGGGTGAGATAATGCGTAACAAATTGTACATATCCTTATAGGAAATCCGTCCGCTGCGGAAAAGAACAAGCACATAAATAAACAACCGTTCAGGACAGCTTCCAAAATAAAATAAAACAAAACAAAACAAAACAATAAACAAAAAAACAAAATCCCAATAATTATCAGAGGGCTGACTGCAAACAACAAGGTACAGGAATGAGGCCTTGTTCAGTCACCGTAGTCACAAACAGGGGAGAGAGGAGTAAGGCTAGAGAGTTTTTTCCTTCACTTTACTGTGTATTCTGTTCTCTGGGGCCAGATGAAGGCTTGAACATACCACGCAGCTGGGTCATACTCAGCCCAAACCCGGATAAACTCATCGAGGTGATGAGGCCCCAGGATGGACGAGTCTCTGGTCAGATACTCAAAGTTATCCATTATGACAGCCACAAACAGGTTCAGCATCTAGAAGACAGACATAAGGTAGTTAGACCTGTTGTTTTGAAATATTAAAAATAACAGACATTTATTTTTATGTTTTATGATATTCTAATAAAAGCTAACACTAAATTCTAGGATTTCACAGATGAAATGTTATCTAACTAGACAAGATACTGATGTAAACATGTTGAAATAGTTCTTCACAGTATTATCGATGTTAAGCAAAAACACTTAAGTACTGTAATTGCAAACATGTGCAAACATGCCCACAGTTCCCTTTAGAATATATCTATCTATATTTGCCCCAGTCAAATCTGATAAAAACTGCTTCAAAAAAAGCTTAATACCGTTGTTTCCACTGTTTTTAATTCAATAACTTCTAAGCCACCTCTATGCATTCTGTGGATTCTGATTTACTCTTGTTTCCATTTTTTAAGAACCTTTTCTTATATTTTGATTATGACTTTTCACTTTCATTGTTTTTATGCTGTCTTAATGTTTTATTACAAATGGAACAGCAGTTTATAATGAAGTTTATAATGCCAAAAACACAGAGGACATACATCTTAACCTCCTAAGACCTGAACTCTTCCACAGCATGCACTTTTAATTTCTCTTTGATATTTGGGCTGATTAGGACCCGATTAATGTAAAAACAAAGAATTACCAGATTTTTTTTTTTCTAAGAAAAATTAGAGCCACATATGAGGATATTCGTTTAAAATTTTAGTATAACAGTAGCAGTATAATGTTCTCGTAAGTAGATATCAGGCCCTTGTAGAGCAAAATTGAGTATATGTTGGTCTAAATAACCCTAAATGTGATGTCCATATATGTGGACGCCAGGTCCTAGGAGGGTCAATATTATATTTTAGCAATATAACTGTTGCTACTTTAAAAATATATGCTGTATTTTGTATTTTTAAGTGGCTTGAAAACACACATTTTTAAGTATCATGTATCGATTACACATACTGGATCTGGCATGTATGTAAAAAATTAAACAGCTGGAATACTGGATGTGTATCTTCTCAGGGAGCACAAATCCTGTACTAACAAAAACTCATTAACAAGTGTTGATTTATTCATTCATTAAAAATTTGAGAAAATGACCAGTAATGATCATTACTCTGTCCCAAATATATGTGTGGTGACTAACTAGCACATGCGTATTTCTGACTAGGTGGCTTAAAGATGGGCAGCTGCGAGGTTTTACAGTAAGTTTTATATTTACTCTGTTTTGTGATCAGCAATTTAGACGTAAATATTATAAAAAAGCAGAAGTAAGAGTTAGTTAAACTCTTTGGCCAATAGTTAAACAATCAAATGTGTCAGCTGCAATGGCGACATTTAGGCTTCAGTACTGACCAGGAAAGAGCAGAGAAAAATGAAAGAGACAAAGTAGAAATAGGCAAAATCGCTGCCACACTCTTTTCCGTGGGTCCCTGATCGCTCATCACATGTACGGTGACTCAAGCACGATAACATGATCTCATGCCAAGCCTCTCCAGTTGCACTCCTGATACATTATAGAGAGAGAAGAGGAAAAAGAGAAACAGAAATGGTTAAATGAAGACATTGACAACATTGTGCATCACCCCAGTTCAGCTTCAACAAACTTAAAATTTATTGTGAAGCACTTTGATGTACACTAATCTGTTTTATGTGGTATAGAGAAACAAATTTTAACTTGACTTGACTTAAAATAACATGGTTGATTTTTGACTATTTTCAGTGAAGGAAGATCAGTCTGATGCTAATATGTCTTGCAGAAAAAGTACAGTCTGTTT